GCCTCCTCTCAGTCTCCTGCCTACCTTCCCACTGTCCATTCCCAGCATAGCAGTCAGGGCTCTGTTTCAATGTCACTGCTCAGCTCAAACCCTGCAGTAGCTCCCCCATGCATGAAGAATAAAAGCCAAAGTTCTAACAATGGCCTACAAATCCCTCCATGGTCTGGGCCTGATACCTCTTTGGCCTGTCTCCTATTATGCCCCCACTCCCATTTCACTCTGCTCTAACCCCATTGGCACATACTTGAAAACCCCAGGGAACTCCTGCCTCAGGGCCTCTGCACTGGCTGTTTCCTCTATCTAGAATATTCTTCCCACAGAGAGCTGCATAGCTCGCTCATTCCCGTCAAAGTCTCTGCTCATATGTCACCTCATGAGACCTACTCTTACCACCTTTGCAACCTACTCCCCCAAGCTCCAGATGTCCCTTATGTATCTATATTTTTTCCACAGTACTTACCACTTTCTATTATTTACCTATTTATTATGCTTACGCATGAAAATATAAGATCCACAAGGACAAAAATTTTATCTTTCTTTGCTCTAATGAATACCGAGCTCTAGACCACTGCCCAGAACATAGTAAGGTGCTAATAATATTGTTGAATGGCTGAATGTCCTCATGAAATGATCAGCCAGACAGAGCACCTGGGAGTGGGTGGGGCTCTGCTTTGCCTGCAGCCCAGCTGTGGGCCCAGGTCTCAGTGCACAGCAGGTCTGGGAACTAGAGAGACAGGCAAGATGGAGGTGGCCTTGGGTCACTGCATCCTGTGTGCCTGGTTTCTTGCTGCTGGGCTGAGACCTCGGTGAGGATAGGGATGGGTTCCCTGTACTCAGCTCAGGGCCTGGTAGCCATACACCCTTGGTGAGCATGTGCACAAACACCTGCCCCCCACAAAGGGTCTGGTGGCACCTGCCAGTGGAAGCACAGACTTCATTATCAAGCAAAGGCTGGGACTGACTCCAAAAGTCCTTTCTTTGGCAAAAGGTCATGGTACCAGTTGGCTCACAAGCAGGAAGAAGGGTGGGTTGTCTCCTGATGGCACAGGCCTCTCCAGCCATGTCTTCTCCACCCGAGTCCCTTCTGCTCTGGAGTTCTGACACCAGTATCACCCATTTCCAGGTGATACTGAAATGTCTGATTTCTAAGTGCCATCAGCAAGGGGAAGAGGAACCCCAGCCCAATCCTGGCCCTATAATTCTAAATCCAGAAATAAAGGCCCTCTAGGTCCAGCTGCCTGCAGCAAGGAGGCCATTAGGTCAGGGCAGAGGACGGGACAAGACCTAACCTCTCCTTCCAGGCTCCCTCCGTAGCCCTTCTGACAGCTGCTTAGCAAGAATGCTTGTATGGGAATTGAAAGCAGGTGTGGGCTGCCTGGGCCGACCACTCATCTCCAGCTATCCCAGCTCTTCCTCTCCTGCCATTCCAGCCACTGCCCTGAAGAGCTTTCCGTGTGTTCTTGGCTTGGACAGGAGTAGGGTGGGATCAGGCTGGGACTGCTGGGGAGAGGTGCCCCTTCAGAGCTGAGAGGACATTGAAATAGGGGCCTCTAGGGTTAGGAGAGAGGGAGGAGGGGGACAAAAGGCCAGAGCTCCCAGGTCAAGTGCGGCAGTAGCCTGGTGCCTGTAGGTCCTAACGACTCTCCACCCTGCTTGGCCATCACCCCAAAAAGGCTCTGTGGCACCTGTGGATTCAAGGTAAAAATCCAAAAGTTGGTTTTTCAGGGAATCTAGACCTGAGAGAAACAATGAACACGAAGACATATCCTTCCCATATGGGGAGTTCAGTGGGGTAGAGTCAGCCTGGGTCCAAGCTTGGCCACTGATGAGCTCTGAGACCTTGGATGAGTTACTGAACTTCTCTAGTCTCTTTTCTGGTCTGTAAAATGGGGGTGATAAAACTATCTATGTCACAAGGTTGCTGGGGGAATTAAATGAGAAAATAAAAATAAACTACTTGGCATAGTGTCTGGTACATGGTAAGTGTTCAGTAAAGATCAGCTGCTATTATTATTATTTAAAATAGAAGCTGTTTCTTCTTGCAGGGATGGTCCATTTTGATACCAGGGGAGAGACGATGTGACCCCTCAAATGGATGAGAAGAGAGACAGGAAGTCTGCCTAAGATGAGGCTGCCAGGACACCACTTGTTTGTTCCCACACTAGTGGCATTTAACTGTCAAAAGTAATTAGGAGGAGGACCCAGGTCCCTGTCTCCACAGCCCATCTGACCCTTTATGACAGCTTCCTGGCCTGAAGACTCCATTTCTTTCTGAAGGAGCACTGAGACAACTTCAGGGAAGGAGGAAGGAGTGCTGAACTGCGATTCTGGCTCTACTAGTCGCCAGTTATATGATCTTGGGCAAGTCAATCTCTGAGGGCCTCCGTTTCCTCATTTGCAAAACGGGGATAATAATAATAGTACCTTGGGTTGTTATGAGAGTTAAGCGGCTCTAATTGTAAAGCTCCCAGAACAGTTTAGGCACTAAGGAAGCACTAGATAAGTGTTTGTTAAATCAAGGTCTAGAGTCTGGAGTGAGGATGACAAGGCTCTAGCACCACACTGCTGAGGGACTCTTCACTTCCAAAGCCTTGTGCACTCACTGACCCATCTCATCCTGCCACAACCACTGCCTGGAACACAGTTGACAATCAAATATCTGTTGAATGACCAAATAAATGAGCAAATAGATAAAGTGTGCAGGGTAAGCAAGAATACACAAAAATTAAACAATAATGTATGATATTTGAAGTCACACAGACTCGAATCCTGGTTTCACTACTAAGAGGCTGTGTGAAAATCAGCAAGTGAGTCTATCATCTTATCTGTGAAATAGGATGAATGACAGTACCTGACTCATTATTGCTGCAGGAATTAAAAAGGGTGCTATGTAAAGTACCGAACAGATGCTAATATCCCCCTCCCCTGCTGCAGCTGGGGGAACTGAGGCCCAGAGAGGGGAGGTTGGTGGTGGAGGCCCAGGCTCTCTCATTGCCTGCCTGGTTTGCGGGGGGGGGGCTCTTCCTGGCTCATCTCTGTGCAATGCAGAGGTGACAGGCTCAGTTTGAACTCTGCCTCAGCTGCATCTAGCAGTGAGACCTCCCTAAATCTCAGTTTTCTCATCTGTACCAGAGGACCATCATCTCCACCTCTCTGGGAGGCTGTGAGGGTGAATGAAAATTAAACATTGAAACCACTAAGTTCAGTAGGTGTTCTTCAGCAAATGGCCACGTTATTACCGTCATCTCTGCCTTGGGACTCTAACTCTGGATGCTTGCCTGGGGAGACTGCTTCTGTCCTTCCCTGCATCTACTTCAAGTCCTGAGGAGGTGGGCAGGTGACCTGGAGGGGCAGACAGTAGGTGTGTGGGCAGGGAGCTAGGGCTGCTCTTAGGGACTAAGGAACCCTGTATGGCCTCTTGAGTGCAGGGCACTGGATGGAGAGGTGAGTACCCCAGAAACACCCAGGTGTGGAGGGAGAGGAAACCTCTAGGCCTAGTTGTAGCAGAGTCCCCATGGGGGCTTCAGAGGCCTGAGAGAGGGAGGAGGAGGAGGGGAGAGGAAGGAGGTACCTCAAGGTTCTGGAGCCACAGACCAAGGCATTAGATTTTGTCCTGAAGGCTTTGGGAGCCAAAGGGCCTTGTTGAGCAGGAGAGTAGCATGGTTAGCAATGCAAAGATTTATCTGTCCCATGTGTAGGATGGACTGGTGAGAGAGAGGCGGGGATCAGGGGACCAGGGAGGAGGCAACCACAACTCTCTCCTAACCTGTGACTGGCTGTGTGAAGACAGGGCTGAAAGACCTATGTCAGGTTAGGCTGGTGAGGTCCTGAGAGATGTCCTGGGAGGACGGCCTGGGCAGCCTGCTCCATGTTACTTTCATAGGATTGTCAGAGCTGATGAATCAGGCAAAGGGTGTGTGTGGAGGGGGGGCCTAGGAGAAGAGCTGTGGTCTTCTGGAGTCAGCACTAAGACCACCAGCTCAGAGAAGCTGAGGCTGTGGGGAGGCAGAAGTGGGGGCAAGGAGGCTGGGAGAGGAGGCCCTGGCAGTGGGAGAGAGACACAGTAAAGGGGATGCAACTGGGCCTGGGAAGCAGGTGGCCACCCTCCAGAACTCTGCATGGATTTGTGGAGAGCCAGAAAAAGTATGTCACCCTCTCTGAGCCTCTGTTTCCTAGTCTTCCATCCAGTTACACATTTCAGAGTCGGATGTCCTTGGGCACCCCTGCCCTGGGTGGGAGGGAGAGGGTCAAGGCACACCAGGAAGAAACTGGGTTCTGGACAGGCACTTGGAAACCACCCAGACACAGAGGGACGAGGGTGGTGTGCACATGTGTTTAGTGTTGTGAGGACACATCCACGCCCACACACTCAGGCTGCCAGCACCGGGCCTCAGACCCCTGGGTGTGTGGCCAGGAGGAATGAGGTCAGCTTTGGAGAATCTGCCCTGGACTCCCACACCAAGCCTGGGGGTCTGAGTTAAAGAACAAGACTTGGCCTTCCCTGAACTGGGATTTTCCATGGTCCTGGCCTAGCAGGGTAAGAAGGAGGAACCAATGATGGGAGAGAAGGTAGTGCTCCCTCTCTGAGCCCCAAACTACCCTGCGCTCCCCACAGTCCCACCCCACACACCATCCCCTTCATGACCAGGGGAGGGTGCTGATGGCCATTCCTTGCAACAGTGCAGGTCAGACTCCTCCTCTGACCTCCCCTAGTCCATCCACCAATGCCTGCCCAATCACAGTACTGAGATGCCCTCTTTGCTGTGCCTCCCAGAGCAAGGCCTAAATTTGGTGCATACCAGCACACTCTGCCTGGCCTCTAGCATGCTACCTTTAGAGGAGAAATGTCTTTAATCCAAATGAACAGTGGGGCTCAGGGGCAATGGCCAGAGGCCCTGTTAAGTAGCAAGCACCTCCACTCCAGACATGGCCTTATCCTCGCAGGTCCCCTTCTGAACCTTAAAAACTGACAGGCCAAAAAGGGGCCCTAGAACACTCACTGGTTTGGAGTACATACATCCAGTCCCATGCTTGGCTCTATCAGCAGTGCTATGGAATTTGAGGTCTCAGTTTTCTTCTCTGCCCAGAGGTGGGGTGCTTTTTGGCTGAGCCCCACTCTGTGGTCTTGCATTCTAAGGAAAGCCACCACAAAAACTTAGCACCTTATAGCAAAACATCCTCTTCTCCAAGGAACTCTAGGAACAGCTGATGCTCAGGTGCTACAAGTCACAGTGAGGACCACAAAGATGCACCCTTCATCACATCACAGAGGGCCCTCCATCTCGGTCCTTTCCTAGCTCCTGCAGATTCTCACGCTGGGAATCAGCACCCAACTTGAGTTCTATGCCTTGGATGTGCTACCAGTGGGGACACTCTTCTCGAGAGACCTAGCCTTGGGTTCCAGTAGCCCCTAGGGAGACAAGAGCACCACCCTCACCCCAACCCCTGCCTCAGCAGCAGCCTCTCACCCAAGGTCAGTATCGCTGAAGACACAGCAGCAGTCCCTATGCTGACAGAGGCAGCAGAGCAAAGGCTGGGGGAGCAGCAACTGAGCCTCTGGGCCCAAAGGCTTTAGCCCTCGTCTGACAGGCTGGCACACCAACCTCAGTGTGTAGCAGAGAAGCAGGGCACTGATTGTAGCCTGAAAGAGGCATGGCAGGAGTGGACCACATATGCATTGGAGACTGAATGGAAAACCTTGACCAAGACAGAAGCAGGAAGTGGAATTCTAAGACAGTAGAGGATGGACCAATAGCTGGCTAGCCCTGGCCAGACTACTAGCAGGTCCTTGGCACAGTAGCCCACATGCTAATAGCACATGAGGAGTTGTTCATCTGAAGAAGGAAGGCTGCCCCCTGCACTGTGTCCTTGTGTGCAGATGGCTTGGGCCTTCCCAAGTCATATCTTCATCCCTCCACCCCCAAAAAGACAGAGGGAAGCCCATCCACAGTGGCCTCCTAAGACTCTCCCTCAGGGCCAGGACTAGGATGGGCTGGTCTGGAGTACGAAACTCAGTAATCAAGAGAAGTAATATTTGATGCAATAGTTAAAAAAATCAAAATCAATGCAAAAAATCTGTGTGATGAACAAAATATAAAAATTTCAAATAAAGACAGTATAAGGATTCCTGATTTTTCAGTTTACCTTAGGCTCCTATATGGCTTGGCATGATACCATTATAGGTACTGTATAAAATCGGGATATTTTGTTCATCGTGAAATTTTTGCACTGTTTTGATATAAAAAATGCATTAAATATTACTTATCTCAATTACTGAGTTTTTGGCAGTCCCTTCAATTTTGTGCCTCTCTAGTGTCCCTGCGGGAACTCTTGTCATATAGACTGGATTCCTGATTGGGACAAGAGCTTCCCCTCTAACCTCCTGCTCATTGGGGCCAAGCTCACATAGTCCAGTGACTGTGAACTTGCCACACCTCCAGAGGTCTTCCTGACCCTTTGTTCCCTACTTCACCCGGTGAGGCTGACATAGGGGCATCTTCAAGGGTGGAGGACTTGCCCTGATTAGAATGAGGAAGAGGCACCGAGAAGGGCTCCTGCCCTTTGTCCCCAAATGACCCAAGCCAGGTCTGAGAGGTGCCTCCTCCTCCACCCCCTGCCCCTCCAGCCAGGGTCTGAGCCCAGCCCCGCCGGCCTAATGCTGGCACTGATGATGTATGGATGCGGAAGCTGGGAGGTGGGACGCACTGGGGCTGTTGATTGGGGGTTGGGGGGCCCTTACTTAGCTGCTCAGGGAGGGCCTTTGGTAACGGACGGAGGAGGGTCTAGGCACGCGGAGCAGCGCACCAGAGACCAGGAGGACAAAGCGCAGGGCTGGGGAACGGGGACCATACTCACCGCGGCCGTTTTGGGTGGGCCGGTACACGCTGCCCACGCTGAGGCGGCCTTGCTGGGAGCCGCCGCGCTNTCTCCGGGGGGTAGAAGCCCTGCGGCGAGTACTCGGGCTGCTCCTCGCCGCCGCCGCCGTACTCCTCGTAGCGCGCGGGCGGCTGGAAGGGGTAGACGACCCCCGCCGAGGCCATGGCCGCTGCGCCGGCGCCACCCGCGCCGCGGTAGTACACGTAGCCCTGGTCGTAGGTCCGCGCCACCGGGTCGTAGGCCTCGTACTGGCTGACGAAGGGCGCCTGCGGGTAGGGGAACTGCTGCGGGAAGGAGGGCTGCTGGCGGTACGTGGTGGCGAAGGCCGAGGCTGAGACCGAGGAGGCGGAGCCCCTGTGC